GACAAGTTGTAGAAGGAAGACAAGATGTGAGTCCATGTGATTTAGCAAGGATAAGGTAATAAAGTCCGTTTGATTCACGCCCGGTACCAATGATCCGCCCCGTACTGCGTTCCTGTATAAAAACATGGTCATCAAGAAATAAAACAGCGCATTTAAGTGATTTGGCTAAGCGACTAACAGCTATGAGATTAAAAGGACTATTGGGAACATAAAGGACTGAATCTAAAGGTAAGGAAGGAAGTGGGCTTGCTTGACCTATTGCAGTTGCCATGGTTTGAGACCCATTGGCCATTGTGACTTTTGGAAGAGATTGAGAATACGAAATAGTAGTGAAAAGAGATTTGTTACCAGAAATATGATCTGATGCACCTGAATCAATGACCCAAGACTCAGAGGATGAAGATTGGGAGAAACAAGTCACGCTATTACCTGTTTGAACAACAGAAGCTATCTCAGAAGATGTCTGCTTACATGCTTTATACTGTAGTTCACGCCGGAAACACTGTAGCTCGCCGGAAAATTCCAAAGTTATCGGAATTTGTTGTAACCAGGATGGATAGACTCGGAATTCCTTTGCGAGCAAGCTGTCCTGAAGAAATATTTTCAAAAAATGGCCAGAAAGGTCACTGTTCACGCCGGAAAAATATAAAAGTGGCCGGAATTTGATTTGAATTAGATGGGTAGGCTCGAAATTTTGAGGAGAGCACACTGTCCTGAAGAAGCTTCGCGAAAAAATGGCCGGAAAGTGGCCGAAACCCTCGCCGGAAAAGTTGTTGCCGGCGCGTGGAGGAGCGTGGCGACTTTTCTGCCGGATAAAATTTCAGGGGTTGGTAGTCGGAGGGTAATCTACCTCGTGGTGGTGTTGGTTTTAGCACAACACCGACAGAAAGTGACTTTCACTTGGACAAGCCTTAGGTCACCGGAAAAATTACATGATGACTAAGTTCTTTCTTCCCGGTTAACGCTGGAATGACGCACATCGATCTTTTCTCACTAATGCTCTGATACCATGTGAGAAGGCACGGGAGAAAAGATGCTATTGATATTAGATGATAAATACAATACAAGAGGTCCCTATTTATAGCTATACACTACAAGGAGATATTACTCCTTTTTCAATGTGGGACAAGACTACACTATACATATCTATAAACTAACACTTATAATTATTTTCTGTATTGTTTCTGTTACATCTTGCTTATGAGTGTGGTATTTTAAGTGAAAGAGTGAGTACGGGGTAAAAACTCTTGATACATGATTTTATAGTGTCTGGCTGTAAGTGTCCAAAATCCTTATAAGGAGCATGTTCTTGAACCTAAAAGAAAAGCTTGGGAAAGTAAGGTGACTTCTTAGCGTATCCAAAAAAAAGGTGACTTTTTGCTTTGCTGCTGCCATATTGCTTGAGTTGTCAGATATTTTTTTGTCTTGCTCTATTTATGTAATAGCTGCATGTTCTGCTTAAATCAGTTATGGTTTTCATAAAATGTTACGTGAACGTAGATCCGTGTTCTGGAGAAGCTTGCCTGTTACACTGTCTGCAGAATTCCTTAATAGATTTAGGAGCTCATGTAAACAACTGTATGTTTGTGTCTTGTTATAAAATTGAAAAGGTTAGATTAGGTCCTAGAAGAAATCGTCAATGTCATAAATTGATAGTGAACTACCTTCCACATTTGAATAGATAAAAATACTTTGAGAAGATCTAATTGTTCATGATCTTCCTGATTGCTTTCGAGCTAAGTTGCTCGGACACGGGTGCGGATCTAGAGGTCGGATCCTTCAAGATGTAAATTTCTAAGATTCGGGGATTTGGATCCTAGTACGGATACGGGTGCAAGGATCCGGCTAAAAATAATTCAAGAAAATAAAAATATAAAAATATCTCTAAATTATAAGCAATTTTTGATGAATACTTACGTATAGCTTGTAAAGTGTGGATTTTTTTTTATTCTCAAGTTGTAGATAAGTAAAGATTGATTTCATAGATACGGTAAGCTATTTTCTTCCCCAGTTTTGGTTTTGATTTCGAGAATCAAATTGTATGTTGTCTCGAATTTTTCCATCCGTCGTGGTCAAAGTACCCAAATTGTTTGACCAGATCCGGTACGGATCCCAGACCCACACCCATACTAGTGTCGTGTCGACACGGGTGCAGCACCTAAACCTCCATGTCGGAGCAACTTGGCTTTCGAGTGAAAATGTTTATGAATTGCCTGGGTTTAGATTTTTTTGATGAAGTAAATTAGATTCATTAAAAGGCATCAAGAAGATGCAAAGAGTACAGAAGAGATAGGATAATTAACTCCATTTACAAAAGCCTATGCTACTATCAGGGAGCTAATGAAATCCACAAAAGTATCAGCACTATTAATAGGGGTGAGATAGTTCCAGCTAATAAGTTAATTAAACACGCAGCCTTGAGGGAGTAGAGTGGAGTTGATATGCCATCAAAACATCTTCGGTTCCTTTCTTTCCAAATACACCAAAACATTGCAGCCGGCACCATTTTCCAGATTTTTCTGATGGATTTGTCAACTCTCCAAAGATACCAACTTTCAAAAGCTTTCTTTGTTGATTGTGACATAACCCATTTCAGACCAAAGGTAGTGTAGAAGAAGTTCCAAATTTCTTTTGCAACTGAGCACTGGAGGAATAGGTGGTTTACACTTTCTGACTGGTGTTGACACATGTAGCATCTATTAACTAGTGTGATGTTCCTCTTGAGGAATAGGTGTGTTTAGATAATAAGTACTGGAATGGGTAATGATTTACATAAGCTCTCTGATACAACAAAAAAGGTGCAATTAATAAGAAAAGAGTCACATGTTGTTTGGCACGACCTAAAAGTTCGTAACCGGAAACACTTTGTTTTGAAGCTTAAAGTAAATGGTTAACTCTATCATTTAAGTGCTTTTGTTTTCCTTTAACTTTCACATAGGTTTTGATAGTTAGTATGCTTTCCAACTAAATTTGTAGCAGTGCACACTTTTATGTTTTGGATATTGTTATGCTAGACTTTATGATTGTACACATTTTTGTGTCTGCTGCATGCCACAGATTGGTAGGGTTTTTTAAGGATGATCTGTATGGTTTTGCACGACTCACGATTGTTGACCAGAAAAATTTCCATATCATTTTGCCTACACTGTTAGTTCAGCTTTATCGTAACTGTCATTTTCACATTGTCTTTGCTGAGTACTGATGGATTTTGTGTCATTTCTTTAGGTTAATTTTCAACAAATTTCCTCTTATCTGGGCCAACAAGAGTTGGAAGGAAAACGAGTGCCACGGATGGTTTCTGGAAAGACATTGCCCTGTTTTCCACCATGGGATTTTGCTTCTAGGGCAGGAGGCTATGTCAGTGATCGATTTCTTTCTGGACTTCGTCCCCAGGAGTACTACTTTCATTGCATGGCTGGTCGTGAAGGGTAAATATATGATTTGTTCCCTCTTGAATTTATCATTGTGGCTTCTACCCACTTGGGTCAGGAAAAATGTAGCAATTGTATGCTCAGGCTCTCATTTGAGAGGAGCCTTTGCCATGTAATTTAAGAAAATGAAGCCAGACCTTTTTGTACAGATGGTAGGGCTCTATATTCCTCTGCTACACCAAGCGCAGTAAAATTCAATGGGAAGATTACTCTAAAGAGTGATGAGCTGAATAAAACTTAGTGCCTTGTAAATGAACTGTACAAAAAATGTGGATCAACTCCCATATATGGTGAGGGTTTATGGATAAATGAGTCATTTAATAATTGCTGAGCGATAAATTCTATTTGTAGAACTGCTAAGTGAAATTCTATTTCCAAAATCCTTTTTCAAGCCTATGATAAAGAAATGGACCTTGGGCCTAACTCAACCCCAAAAGCTAGCTCTTGCATTGAGGATCTCCCAAGGTTATATAAGGAGACCAAGGGTCTAACTCAACCCCAAAAGCTAGCTCTTACCTAGGTTCTCTAAGGATTTGGCATTATGTATGCTACTTCTAATGTTTTGTTGAAGCATATGAATAATCTAGTTATTGAATGGTGGCTTGACTTTTTATTTATTAACACCCATAGCTTAGAATACTTCTTTATTCCATTCTCTTTCCGCTACTGAGGAAAAGGTTGGAGACTACCTATATCTCTTTATTTAGTGTTTATGGATAACCATTACCATGTTCTCTATCAATCACTGTTCTGTTGGTCATATTTGCATTTACTTGCCTCACTGTTGGCTCCTTGTGTACAGATTAGTTGATACTGCTGTCAAAACATCTCGCAGTGGATATCTACAAAGGTGCTTGATAAAAAATCTGGAATCTCTTAAAGTCTGTTATGATTATACTGTCCGTGATGCAGATGGTTCAATTATCCAATTTTATTATGGAGAAGACGGTGTTGATGTACATCGAACAAGTTTTCTCAAAAACTTCAAAGCACTGAAAGATGTAAGAACTGGATTTCGAATTCCTTTATTGACTAATAAAATGTGTGCTGATTGTGTAAGATTTGCCATTAAGATAATCCAATTTTTTTCCCAATATACTAATAGTTTATTAACTTTAACGATGCATCACACTTTTGATTATTTGTATTTAGTTGTTGTAAAAATTCATGTCAAATGCTGTGTATAACATCATTTAGTCATTTTTGTTTTAGTATCTTGATATTATGAATCTATAACAGTTCTCAAATTTAGAATTTTTGGAATTTTACTTTATGCAACAGTGAAGTACCTACGAAACTGGATGAAGATGTAAACAATTCTTAAGGACTTATTCAGTTACTCTATTGAACAAAGTTGTATATTCTGGATGTTAACATTTCGTAAGTTTTTAATAAGCATAAATATAATTACCTAAGATATTTGAGTAAAGTGTACATTAAGATACTACAGTGAATATAAAGAAAGGATCAGTACAAACTAGTGCGACTTATTCAAGCTCGAAACTTGCTGGGAGGAATTGTGTATTTAGCATGTAATAATTGAAGTTTGTCATTGACAGAATTATTAAATGACTCATTTATCCATTTATTGATTTTTAGAATCAAGAAACTATTTGCCAAAAGTTGCGGCAAGGACGGAAGCTCAATTCCTATATTGAAAGGTTGCCTGATGGCCTGGAAGAAAAAGTGAAGCAATTCTGGGGTAAAAAAGCAAAAAAGTTAGAGAAGAAACTAGAGAAGCGAGTGAAGAAGGAAGAGATATCGAAGCAACTGAAAAAGGAGGAGGTGGACTTTCTAGAATTAGTGGGACAAAAATACTTCTCAAGTTTGGCAGATTCAGGAGAGCCAGTTGGTGTCCTTGCTGGTCAGTCTGTAGGTGAACCGTCAACCCAGATGACGTAAGTCAATATGCTTCTCTTTTCTTCTCTACATAGGTTATTTACTCTGTTGTTATTAAGTACTTTTGAACCATGAGGGATGTTGAGATGGAAATGGCAACGGAAATTGATATCTCCTAATGGAAATGCTAACATATGATGCAAATAAAATGAAATTAAGGCAAAATGTCATGTTACTGTAACAATCAATACTTGAATTCAGGCATTTTGCTCCAATATTGCTCTTGTAACATACTGTCTGTGGAATAAGTTACTGTGGTTGTACTTCAACTACTATTTGCTAAAACATTAAAGGTGGTGAAGTGCATTAATTAAACACTCCCATTCTAACATTCACACGAAAGAAAATGAAAGTAACAAGATGCAGAAGAGGGAAGCCTGGTAGCAGCTTTACAAAACAACTGGTACAAATATGTATGTTATTCGTAGGATGTAATGTTTATGAACTTGAAATAATTCTAACTGGGTCTAAATTAGACAATATTATTTGCTGACTTTAGTGCTTCTGTCGGTTTTAGAAGCTACATGATTAATATAGTGACTGAATTATTTGTTTGTACTGCTCCAATAGATAATCAGAGCTGGAGAAAGGTGTATGGAAGAATAATTATATGGATATTTAGTATTTCACTGCTTCAAACCTCTTTTTCTTATCTTTTCTTTCCCTGAATGTGCAACTTGTTTAGTGGCTTAATTGTTCGTTCTGCATGTTAATACCTTGGGTGTGCCTGTTTTTCGATGAGAAACAATGAGGCCGTGTGTCTATGGGTGTGCCTGTTTTTCTTGTTTTCGATCAGTGACCATTCTGCTGGTCCAATATTTTAAATTTCTGCTTTCTATGACTCTATGTCCAGTTGGATTGATGCATTTCAGATACACTTGCTTGAATTATTGTGGCCTGCTTTGATCCGATCTAGTCTGATATTAAAATGGTTCTCATGATGTTTGAGGATTTTGTACGCCAGTATTGGTGAAATTTTGATTTTCTCTAGTTACAGAGTTTCATATTGTCAGCTATTAAAGTCTGTCTAGAAGCTTGGTCATCCAACTTTTTGAAAATTCCACCCAGCCATCCCAATTATTTTGCTTACTTGCCAATTACTGGCAAATTGAAATTGTGTGCAAAAGTACTGCTGCTGTGAATGAATTCTGGTGAAAGTTTGTTAAAATTGATATCACAAAGGCGAAGTGAGATGGAAATAAAAAATACTGAATGCACTGAGTCATAGACGAAACATTTTAGATATTGTGCTTGCATCTCCAGGGATTCATTGATAATGGTATCTTGTTGGAACATGTGTTTTGCCTAAATATTGAAGATCACAGTGGTAGTGTTTTCAGATACACACAATGTTTTGAAATTCACTTATCCAAATGCAACCTTAAAGTATTAAATGCTGTTATCATTTCCAGACTGAACACTTTTCATCTTGCCGGCCGTGGAGAAATGAATGTCACTCTTGGAATTCCACGTCTTCAGGAGATTCTGATGACTGCCTCTGATGCTATTAAGACTCCCATCATGACATGCCCCTTCCTTGGCTGGAAATCAAAGTAAGTTGAATTGATCTCTTCGTTGTTTGGAGATGGGTAAAGTATGTCTTTGGATTGGAAACCCTTTGAGCTGATAGTTCTCTAGTCCACATTGACAATATAAAGACACTGCATTTTCTCATGGATAATGATTCTATGTAGTCTTTCTTGTTGACACTTCCTTGAAATCTGTTGCAAAATCTAAAAGATTTAAGTGATCATCAGGGATGATGCCCAGTCTCTTTTGGCCGAAGTGAAGAAGATCACTGTCGCTGATATGATTGAGAGTATGGAAGTTAATCTTTTGCCACTGTCAATATACAACCATCAAGTTTCTCAACTTTACAAGCTCACAGTTAAGCTCAAAGAGCACGAGTTTGTGTCATCAGAAGATTGTGATTATACCCTAAAATATGTGTTCTTAAGGGAGTTGGAGGATGCAATAGAAAGTCATTTGGCCTTGCTCTCTAAAATTAATGGTATAAAGAACTTCAAGTCAAGCTCAGATTCAGTGGCTTCACATGAGACTGAAGAAAATGCTTCCAGCACCAGACATGAAGAAGAGATGTTGGATGATGATGATGAAGCTGAGGACGAAAGAACTGAAGAAGATCTTAGTTCAGATGCACAAAAAAGAAAACAGCAAACCACTGATGAGATGGATTATGATGATGGTCCTGAAGATGAAGCTAGTGAAGCTGAGACCACTGCTGAAGTTGAAGATGAGAAAAGTGACCAAACACACGAGATTGGAAATGGGGATGAAGAGGAAACTGGAGACCATGGCAATGAAGAGCAAACGACTAAATTGCACTCTGAGGAATCAAATATCAAAACAGCTAAGTCAAAGACCAAAACAACTGTCCAACAGAAGAAAAAGAAGGAAACACGTAGCAAAAAGGATTCAGACAGGTCTGTCTTTATTGCTGTGGAGGGATTGCATTTTGAGGTCCACTTTAGATTCGTCAATGAACCTCATATCTTGTTAGCTCAGGTATCTTCAATCAATTTTGTTATTCTCTCAGTTATTACCTAAAGAAAGACATTGCATACCCTTCTTTTTATGCTCTTACATTCTTTTCCTAAATCCGCACTTAATTGAGCACTTTGCTATGCACTACCTACCATATAATCATCCGTCAGCTAGCTTATGTTGAGTAGACTCATGAGTTGATCAACTGGATCTTCATTGTGCAAATGTTATTTTCTGTCTGATCATTGCGCACCTCTTGGCAAATTGTTTGCCTTGAACTCTTGTGGTTTATAATACCCTTCATATACAAAATGCTCTACGTGGCGCTGCACTGAGATAGCTTCTAAATTTCTAACTCATGCAGGTTGCCCAAAAGACTGCAAAGAAAGTATATATTAAGAACGCCGGTAAAATCGAGCAATGCAGAATGGTCAAGTATGATGTTAGTGAAAATACTGTGATGTGGGATGTAAAGCAAATAAAGAATCAAAGCCAAGACACTGATTCTGCTTATTGGGCCCTGAAGGCAGCTGGAGTAGATTTTGGTACCTTTTGGGAAATGCAAGATGACATTGATGTTAATCGAATATACACAAATAATATTCGCTCTATGCTGAATACTTATGGCGTTGAAGCTGCTCGGGCAGCAATCATACGAGAGGTTAAGACTGTTTTTGGAATATATGGGGTTGAGATTGATTTCCGGCATTTGAGCCTAATAGCTGACTACATGACTCATACGGGTGGATACCAGCCAATGAGCAGACATGGAAGCATATCCGAGTCTTTGTCACCGTTCCTTAAGATGTCTTTTGAAACGGCATCAAAATTCATAGTTGAAGCAGCATCTCATGGTTTGACTGACAACTTGGAGACACCATCCTCCAGAATTTGCCTAGGGTTGCCGGTGAAAATGGGTACCGGTTGTTTTGACATAATGCAGAAGCTAGATATTTGATGTAATAACCATATGATATTATTATTCGCTGAGTTTTCAATATAATTATTTATTAGTGATTTTCAGTTTCTGTGCTGCAACTGTTTTCATCACTTAGTTCGCTTATTTATTCCATTATTACTATCATTAGTGTCATCTTTTATATTACTATCATTCTCTTGTAGTTAAAATCTACTGACCAACTTCCACTGTAAATCAAATTGTTTAGTTAGTGGCTTAATTATATATACACCTGCTGAAAAATTCGATTAACTCATGCTTCTTTAATAACTGCTTTGACTGAGTTGTCTTGATCAGTAATTATCAGTTTAGGATCCTGCCCACACAATATTGCTCAAAATTACCACGTTAATCACACCAGTGTTGGTTTGCTTTCGTCTTGCTTGTCTGCTAATCAGAGCAACGCAGGTTGACAGTGATAATTCACCTATCATATTAAAAGAAAATATCATTCTTCTCATTGGTGTTTAGGAATACGCCAGAGATCGGCCCTGTGTTCGGTGATAACCAAATCATGTTTGTTTGTAACATGTCAGTCAAATTTAACAGTCCATTTCCAAATCTAACAGCTTAAATCACAAGTGATATTTTCTGATTGCATGGTCTTAAAATATGGAACTAGGTTCTAAAGTTTGCTTTCTTATATATACCAGTATCTTTCTCGTGTCCACTGATCACGCCCAACTATGCCTCCTAAGAGGTCTAGCGATCGCTGTAAATATATTCTGGTCTAAAAGTCCGGAGTCGAATCCCACAGAGAACTAAGGTTTAGCTACAACTGTTTATAATCACTAAGAAGACAAGTTCGGACAATTCCTAAGTTATAAATATTAAGATTATTGTATCTAATTAACTAACAAATTAAATTAGTAGATTAACAACTAGGGATACTAAGGGTTGGAGACAAGATTAAGGAGGTCTAGAGTTATGATTTCCCTAATTGTCGGAATCCTTCCCGCTACATCTTCTTCAATTTCGCCTAAGTATTCTCTACCTATCGTGAGTACTTCGGGTGCCATAATTCTCTTCCGAGCAACTACCATAATTTACTAGACATATTCTTCTGACACTACTAGAAATTCGCTAAAAACCGATCAAAGTTGGTCGGTTATGGCCAATTACCGACCAAAACGCGACCATTAGGGTGTGAACGGTGTTTTGATGGTCGGAATGGCTTACCGATCAAAGTTGGTCGGAAATTACCGAAAACGACCATCTGACAAGTTTAAGTACTTACCGACCAACTTTGGCCGGAAACATATTTTATTAATTTAATTTTACCGACCAAAGTTGGTCGGTTTAACTAAATTATATTTTTTATTAATTATTAAAATTTTAAAAAACCGACCAACTTTGGTCGGTAATTGAAAATATATATATTTTTAAAATAATTAAAATTAAACATTACCGACCAACTATGGTCGGTAACCTCAATAGTGCATGCAAAATACCGACTAAAGTTAGTCGGTAATGTTGAATTCTGGGAATTCAATGTTCATTAACCGACCAACTTTGGTCGGTATTTTGGAATAATTTTTTTTATATTAAAAACCGACCAACTTTGGTCGGTTTTTCTGGGTTTAATTTTAGCATAAAATGTCTATTTTGGCAGCTACACCACCTGCCAGCATACCAATACACCTAATAACAACAACAACAACACAACAACAACAACAACAACAACAACAACACAACAACAACCAAAACATTCAATAAATACTTTAAAACTAACAAATTAAAGTTCAATTGAACATAAAAATCCAAAACCAAGTTAAAACTAATTACAACTAGTTCAAAACTGGTTCTATTTGTCTAGTTNATATATATATATATATATATATATAGAAGAAGAAAAAATGAGAGTCTTACTAGTGAAAATCATCATGGGTACTGTAAGACAACGATAAGTAGATATAAATAAATGAGAGAGACTTGTTGGTGAAAACCTCTCAGGCCACCACTAGTCGAAAGTGAGTCATAAAGTTGATGCAATGAATTGGCATAAACAAGCCTGTCTTCAAAGGTCATAAGAATGGTAAAAGTAAAGATTAGATCAGTTTGATAGATCAGACGTTGAGTCCAAAATGTATGTTATGATCATTAAGGCTAGTTATTGGGGGGAAAAGAAAAAAGAAAAAGCTCCTCCTTCTTTCCTTCCCGACATGGGAATTTCTTGTTACTATTATTTCTTTGCATCATTGTGTCCTTCGCTCTGAGTCAGTCCTTGTCAAAACAAGCAAGAAAAGATTTCAAAATCTACTACCAACTTTTCGTTTGCACAAAGTAAATTTGGGCAACACACTCGGTTGTTATAATCGACATATCTTGAGGATTCGTGCAATACAAAGGTTGCTCCAAAAGATACTCATGTCGGCCTAGTTGTCTAAAGGAAGAAAATTTAAGACCGCAAGGTTAGTCATTATCACGATCAAATTCTCCCTCCGTGAATTTCCGTGATGACGCATAGTCGCTACGACTGGTAAGCCTAACACTTACGGAAATGAAATGAAAAACATGAAAATTAACAACTAACAGTAATAGATATTAGCAATTGAGATGTCGCTCGGCATATACAATATTCAACTCTCAAAATATACATGACACTCCCAAGACCCAGAACACCGTAAGTCACAAGCTTCTACAAAGTTCTAACTGGTGTTCTATACACCAGTGTCTATAGAAGTAAGAGAAGAATCAACATGGGGGGGTAGAGGGGGACTCCGAGGATCTACGGGCATGGGCAGATATACCTTGAAGTTCTCCGAAACAGCAGCGACTTCAACTAAGGACGAAGCTGGTAAAAGGAACCTGGATCTGCACACAAAAACATGTGCAGGAAAGGGCGTGAGTACACCACAGCGGTATCCAGTAAGTGCTGAGCCTAACCTCGGCCGACTAGTGACAAGATCAGGTCAAGGCCTTACATGTATATAATAAATAAGTAGGAGAATACACAGATATAATAAGAGACTAGAATTTAAACAAAGAGAACAAAGAAAAGTAGAAACGCAGAACACAGGGATAAACAGCAGGGGATCTCCCAAGATACCGTTTCATAGTCCCAAAATAAAAGTGCAAGGAGATCTCATGAGGTACCGCCTCGTAGTCTCAAAAGTAAATATGTTAGGCAAATCTAAGGGAATTTCCCCCCACACAAGGTTAGGCAAGCCACTTACCTCGAACCAAGCTCAATCAATCGGTAACAATGCCTTTTCCACGAATATCTAGCTCTGAATGACACAAATATATCCAAAATCAATTACATACTATAAATACAACTATAAGATATTAATCTAATTAATGAAATCAAAGCTAAAGCAATAAATTAGAAAATAGCCCCAAACGGTCTCCCTGGACCCACGACTCGGAATCGGGTCAACGTCACAAAATATGAACACTCATTCACTCATGAGTTCACTCATACCAAAATTACTCAAATCTGATACAAAAATCTAGTTCAAAATCCCAAAATTCGGCCTAAGAACTTTTCTCAACTTTTCCCCAATTTTCTAACCCGAATCACTAATTTAATGATGAAATTAAAGACATAATCATGGGAATTAACCAAAACTAGGTAAGAATCACTTACCCCAAACACCCACGTGAAAGTCCCTCCAAATAATTGCCTAATTCTGGGCTCTCAAGTCCAAATGGTAAAAAATGACATAAACCCTTGATTCTGAACTTTTAAATCTACCCAGGTGTTCCCTTCTTCACGAACGCGGCCACTCTCTCGCGTTCGCGTATAACAAAAATTCCACTGACCAAATTTCCTCTTCGCGAACGCGTACATTTTACTTTCTGGTCCTTTGTGAATGCGATACCCACTACGCGAACATGTAGACCAAATGACGGGTCCCCAGCTGCCTAACTTCCTCTACACGAACATGTTCCACTCTTCGCGTTCGCGATGCTTCCACTGACCATACCTTCACGAATGCGGGATCCTTTGAACGAACGTGAAGAACAAACTTGAGCTGCCTCCCAGATGCTCTACGCAATCTTGAGACCTCTCTCGCGAACGCGATGAAGAATTGTCTGCAATAAAAACACCAGAAATCTGCTATCTTTTCTTAAGTTCAAAAGGTCCGTTAACCATCCGAAATGAACCCGAGGCCCCCGGGACCTCAAACAAACATACCAACAAGTCCTAAAATACTATAAGAACTTAGTCGAGCCCTTAAACCACATCAAACAATGCTAAAATCACGAATCATCCTCCGATTCAAACTTAAAGAACTTGAAACTTCCAAATTCGACAACCAATGCAAAAACCTATCAAATCTCGTCTGATTGACCGCAAATTCTGCACACAAGTCATAATCAACAATACAGACCTACTCCAACTTTCAGAATCGGAATCTGACCCCGATATCGAAAATTCCACTACCGGTCAAAATCTCCAAAACTTGGACTTTC